GAGAGATATTCAACCACTACCAGCTGAGGAAGCTCACCCTGGAGCAAATTCGAAGCATGTTAGAGGAAGAAATGAAGAAATGGGCCCCCATCAAGTTCCCGGCCATGAGAGGCAGCGTCAGTGCTTACCACCTGATGGAAACAGGCATCATTGACAAGGCCCTGTTTGAGAAGCTGTTGGAGGGATCTGTCACTCCGGAGGAAGTCCTGCGCATGGACTCTGTCAGAAAGTACCTCTACGGCTCTGGCAGCATCGGGGGGATTGTACTCCAGCCATCAAACCAGAGGATAAGCATTTACGAGGCCATGAAGAAAAACATCATGGTACCAGGATCTGCCCTCCCACTGCTGGAGGCCCAGGCTGCCACAGGCTTCATCATCGACCCAGTGAACAACCAGAAACTCTGTGTGGATGATGCCATCAAGGAGGGAGTCATTGGGCCAGAAGTCCACGAGAAGCTGCAGCATGCGGAAGCAGCTGTAACAGGCTACAAAGATCCTTTCACAGGCAAGAAGATACCCCTCTTTCAGGCGATGAAGAAGGGCCTGGTTGCTGACAAACAGGCCATGCAGCTGATGGAGGTGCAGATGGCTACAGGAGGCATAATTGACCCAACATGTGGCCACTACATCCCCATAGAATCTGCCCAGAAACGAGGGTGCCTGGATGAGGACACAAGCAAGGCCCTTTCTAAGCCCAGTGACAGCAGCAGAGCTTTCTGCGTCCCAGACAGCAAAGAGACCGTGACCTACGCCGAGCTAATCAAGCGCTGCCAGAAGGACGAGATCTCCGGCTTCCACTTGCTGCCTCTGCCACAGACAGCTGCTCCTGCCCACACCGACGAACAAATCCAGCGGATTTTTAAGGAAACTGTGGTGAAGGAAAAAGGGGTCTCCTTATGGGAGCTAATCCACTCCGGGTATTTCACTGAGGAGCAGAAGAGCGACTTCGTGGAGAGGTTCCGGTCTGAGGAAATGTCGCTGCAGCAGCTGGTTGCTCTTGTGCTCAGACTTGTTGGGGAGATGGAAATGAAACTCCGCACCCACATCACCTTGGAAGGCTTGCGGGGCAGTGTCCCTGCCGTCTGGCTGCTGGATGCTGGCATCATTACGGAGAAGACGTTTGAAGAATTGGCTCAGGGCATAAGGACTCCCGAGGAAGTGGCTGCAATGGAGAGTGTGAAGAGGTACTTGCAGGGCACAGGCAGCATCGCTGGGGTATTCGTAGAGGCATCCAAAAAGAAGATGAGCTTTTATGACGCCATGAAAAATAATGTCCTCCTCCCTGGGGCTGCCCTGAGGCTGCTAGAAGCTCAGGCAGCCACAGGGTACATCACTGACCCAGCAACGAACCAGAAACTCAGCGTGAGGGATGCCGTGAAAGCAGCTGTTGTTGGTGAAGAGCTCACCGAGAAACTCCTTCTAGCTGAGAGGGCAGTGACCGGCTACACAGACCCCTACACGGGGAGCTCTATCTCCTTATGCCAAGCCCTCAGGAAAGAGCTGATTCCCCTGGAAGATGCTGTTCCCTTGCTAGAGGCCCAGCTGGCCACAGGAGGGGTCATTGATCCCATTCACCACCATCACCTTCCACTCCAGGCTGCATGCAGATACGGCTTCTACGATGAGGACCTGAACCAAACCCTCTCTCAGCTGAATGACAGCACCAAAACCTTTTTTGATCCGAACACAAAGGAGAGCGTGACCTACCAGCAGCTGAAGGATCGGTGCATTCGTGAGCCTGAGTCAGGTCTCTGGCTCCTTCCTCTGTCAGAAAACTCCATGTTCTGTGTGGATGAGCAAACCATGGAGGTGCTGAAGTCTGTGACTGTTTGTGTCAACACAGGGCGGTTCAAAGGACAGACAGTGTCAGTCTGGGACCTTCTCAGCTCTGAATACCTCTCAGACAGCAAGAGAAGAGAGCTAGTGCAAAGGTACAAGGATGAGAATACCGAAGCGCTGAATGAAATCGTAACAATTGTCACCACAATCATCAAAGAGACTGAGACACAAGGCAAGGCGTTTGCATTCAAGGGCCTGCGGAAAAGTGTATCTGCCAGTGACCTCTTCCAGTCTCAACTTATAGACAAAAAAACCCTCGATGAGCTCAAAGAGGGGAAGAAAACAGTCAAAGAAGTCACTGAAATGGACTCTGTCCGCAGGTACCTGGAGGGCAGCAATTACATAGCAGGGGTCCTTATACAGCCGAGCAATGAGAAGATGAGCATCTACCAGGCCATGAGGAAGGGCATCCTGAGGCCAGGGACAGCACTGGTGCTGCTGGAGGCGCAGGCTGCCACTGGCTACATCATTGACCCAGAGAAAAACAAGAAGTTTTCAGTGGAGGAAGCACTAACTGCAGGGCTAATTGGCAGGGAGATTTTTGAAAAGCTACTCAGCGCAGAAAGAGCTGTGACGGGCTACACCGACCCCTACACAAAAGCCCCAATATCCCTATTTGAAGCTATGAACCAAGGACTGATTGTCAAGAGCCACGGCGTCCGCCTGCTCGAGGCCCAGATCGCCACCAGCGGCATAATAGACACCGCCACCGCCTCCCCGTGGAGGTGGCCTACCGCCGCGGCTACTTCAACCAGGAGATGAACCAGATCCTCTCCGACCCCACCGATGACACCAAGGGCTTCTTCGACCCCAACACCCACGAGAACCTCACCTACATGCAGCTCCTGGAGAGGTGTGTCCAAGATTCAGAGACTGGGTTGTACATGCTACAGGTTGTACAGGAAGGAGGAAAGTACTTCTACATTGATGAGTCTACAAAACAGGTTTTGCGCTCAAAGCCCCTTGAAGTGAAAGTTGGAAAGTTTAAGGACCAAGCAGTTTCCATCTGGGAAATTCTCTGCTCTCATTACTTCTCCGAGCAGAAACGGAAAGAACTGGTGATGCAGTACAAAAGCAAAACTCTCACACTGGAAGATCTTATAGCCCTCATCCTCAAAATAATTGAGGATACAGAGCAAAGAGCAGAAGCCCTCAAGGTTAAAGGACTGCGCGGTGATGTGTCAGTATCAGAACTGTTTAACTCCGAGATTATTGACAAGAAAACTATAGACCAGCTGCAGGATGGGAGTCTCACGCTTGCCAGACTCACAAAGAGGGACACCATCAAAAGGTACTTGGATGGCACTGGATGCATCGCAGGGGTTTTAGTCCCATCAAGGAAAGAGAAGATGAGCATCTACCAGGCCCTGAAGAAGGGCCTCCTCACAGAGCAATGTGCACTGGGGCTGCTGGAGGCACAGGCTGCCACTGGTTTTCTCATTGACCCACTGAAAAATAAGAAGCTCTCCGTGGATGAAGCTGTCTCATCCGGGTTGGTGGGCAGCGAGCTGCACGAGAAGCTCCTGTCAGCAGAGAAAGCTGTGACAGGATACACAGATCCTCATGAAGGAAGCAAAATATCCCTCTTCCAGGCGATAAAGCAAAAGATGATGGTCAAGGAGCACGGCATCCGCCTGCTCGAGGCGCAGCTCGCCACCGGCGGCATCATCGACCCCGTGCACAACCACCGCCTCCCCCTGGATGTGGCCTACCGGCGCGGCTGCTTGGATGACAATATGTTTCTACGACTTTCTGATCCAGATCACGGCAGCAAAGGTTTTATAGATCCAAACACTCATGAGAAAATCACTTACAGTGAGCTCCTGCACAGATGTTCAAAAGACAGAGATACTGGATTGTACCTGCTGCAGCTCATGGGAGAAGAAGATGACTATTTCTACATTGATGAACAAACGAAAAATGCACTTTTATCGACAAAGGTAAAAGTGCCTGTTGGAAAATACAAAGGACAGGTATTATCGCTGTGGGAGCTTCTCTGCTCTGAGTACATAACTGAGGAGAAAAGAAAAGAACTGGTGAAAAAATATAAAGAGGAATCCCATCACATTCTTCAAGGAATTATTGATACAATACTAAAAATCATTAAAGAAAAAGAAGAGAACAGAAGTGATGTCTGGTTCCAAGGAATCAGAAAACAAATCACAGCATCAGAACTTCTCAGTGCACAGATAATTACAGATGAAACAATGGAAAAACTTCATGAAGGAAAAGAGTCAGCACAAGACATAGCAAAAATGAATAATGTGAGAAGATACCTTGAGGGAACTGGAAGCATAGCCGGCGTGCT